CTGCGCGCGGGGAGAGCGTTGCGCTGCCCCCTGGCGGCGAGAGGGCGCCGCCGCCGCCGGTGAAATGGCGGCCGGGCCGCTGAGAGGGGAGCTGGTACAAGCGCGGGGCCCCCCTCACCGTCCCCCCGTCCCGGGCCGCCGTCGGCTGGGGGAGCAGGGGTTTGACCGAGGTGAGCGTCCCAGTCGCTCCCCAGCGAGCAGAGGGGGAGTTTGGGGCAGCACGGCGTCAGGGGAGCCACCCCCCCCGCCTCAGGCCGGTTCCTGCTCCCTGAGGGAGCGAGCGCGGAAAACCCGTCGGGAGGGAGCTGTGGGGCTGCCCCACGGCGGGACAGAGGCCGGGGCCCGGCCCTGGTGACAGCGGTGGGGCGGGCAGAGCCCCTCCGGGAACTCGGGTGAGCTGTGAGGGAAGGGGGTGGCTTTGCCAAGCGGCAAACACCCGGAGCCTCGAGCTACCACCCTTTTCATCCTTTTTCTCCTTAACCCCACTCTGGGGCAGGCCAGGAGGGAAGGGACTTCACCAGAGGATTCACTCACTCCACCTAAGGTACTTTTTAAAAACGTGTGTGTGTGAACTGGAATGAAGTGAGGTGGAGTTGATTGTTTCAACATTTACAACACAATACAGCTCCCTATCTCTCACATAATGCTATATCAATTATAATTCCTTCTCTCATTTGTTTAATTTCATCTTGACACACACACATAACACAACAGGTTAACTCTGATATGGTTTTGGAGTTGTTTTCCCCCCCTTGGATGCCCCAGAACACACACCACGAGGGGAATAACCCCAAGGTTTGGGATTCTGTGAGATTGCTGCTGCCCCTCCTGTCACACACTCCTGTCACACTTAGGACCAACTTTTAGAAGCCAGAAGTGGAAAAAAAAGAATAAATTAGTAGTGTATCATTTATTCGAGTTAGGTTTCAATACACAGACAAGGACGCTGAAGTTATTACTGAGATTATTTTTGCATCTGCAGATAATATGAGTGACATTCCATATACCAGCAATCTAATAGCAAATGAGAAGTTGTTTGCATAAATACAGACACTGGAATACACGTAGTTTCACAGTTTTAACAGCAGTATGTTACAACTTTACACTTTAAATTACTACACCAGCTTTGAGTAACATTGGTTATACATAAGCAGTGGTCCCACTATTCAGGATACAATCAGACTGAGGATGAGAACACAGTAAACAAATTGAAAAACAACAAATAACCAGAAAAAAATAAAGCCCAAAGTCATGGTTTATGGGAATGATGGGTTCTTTCCCCTCTATCAGGAAAAGTTACAGCATGTTACCAACTAATGGAGCAAAACTCCCCTCCCAAAACCCTTAACATCTTTTCTGGAAACAAAATGAAACGAGTAGAAAAAAAAAAATAAAAGGGGTGAGAGACAGTATTAAATACAGCAGGTAACATATGGAATATCACAAGTTTTGGTTTTTATTAGAGTAAGCTTCTATTCTTATAAAACAGTTGCTTTGCACAGTTTGACCAGGCAGCCCAATGTCAATGTACCAGTGGCCTTTATACATCACAGTCCCATTTGTGGCTGTCCTGTGCTTGGCTCCCAGCTCCTGGAAGGGACGTCCCGAGGCAACGCTGCAGGTTCTCACATCGTCATGTGCTCCGGTAAAACGTAGGAGATGTCATCCCACGGGTGGCGGTACAGACCTTGCTTCAACCTCTTCTGATCCAGGTAGTGTCCTAAAAAAAAAAATAAAAAAAAATGGTTTGGGTCACAAAGTTTCTGCTCCTCATCTTACTTTCCTTGAAATAAATTTCTGTATTAATTAATTTGATTTCTGGGAAGGGGCAGAAAGATGGCAAACTTACCAATGAATCCCATACTCCTGCCTAGCACAAAGATGCCGTTAAGAGCTCCTATATCAATATATTCATCTGCTTCTTCCCTACAAATGAAAAAAATTATAGTTCATCATGGCGATCCATTTAAGGAACCAATTTTAGAAGGGCTGTGAAGTCTGCTCTAGTGCCAGTAGTGACACCAAATTCATGTGAAAGCTTCCTTCCTCCAGGTCCAGGCTACGTTTCCCCTCACAACATCTTTTGGAAATCCCAGCCCCAGGTGAGCTCCCATCACTGTCACAGGAGCAGGACCAAGAGAAGAGCCCACGACCTACTCACCGTGTGAAAGAGCCGCAGTTCCTGAGTACGTCTACGAAGGCAACGCCAATAAAGCCATCTACATTCAGGATAAGATTTGGTTTCTGCAGGAAATGAAAACACACCCCGATAAAGATGTCAATAGTGGCAAATGGTGTTCACCTGGCAGCTTCCATCCTCATGGGTAATTTGAGGGTTGCCTGTAATTATGGGCACACAAGCCCAGTGTCAGACATCGCTGTTCAGCAACGTGAGTGAGATCCACACTTAATGCAAGTGATGGAAAAGCAGCCCCAAACTACGGGCCTGCATCTGGCTCAAACCACAGAGATTATGGTGCTACCTCTGCCTCATGCTGAGGGAACTGTGGACGACACAGACAACGGGGCTTGGTTTGTTCAGCATTTTCCTGGTGTCCAACAAGTGCCTTCAGCCTTACCAAGCTGTAGTTGGACTTGGCCCAGGAACCATTTATGAAGCGTTGCAAATAAAATACAGCATAAAGCCCACGTCACTTGTCCCCCCAGTAAGAAAAGTGCTCAAGAGGAGATGAATGCTAGTGCATTTCACCTTAGAAGTTGTAATTTTTTCTACTTCAAGTGCATAGTCCAGCAGTGGGGTGGCAGGGAAATGCTGCTTCACGTAGTCTTTGAGGATCTGAACTCTCATGTCTGGGTTATTTATCTGCAAGTTAAGATGACATTACAGTCACTGGTGTTGCCCCTTGCACAGGTACTTGCCATAAGCTTTATTATTTGTAGGTTTTGTACTTGTTAAGTCCTGAGAATTCGGTCAATTGCTGCCTCTGAAAGTTGCTAATTTTCTTTCCTTTTTGATTTGTTTTTTCCCCCCCTCTAAACAAACCTCCAGTTTGTACAAACATTTCCTTACCGATTTGACTCTGTGTCCGATGCCCATGATCAGTTTCCCTTCCTTCTTCATCTTATTCACAAACTCCATGGGGATAATCCCACTGTCGAAGGCTTTGCTGAACATTTTAGCTGCAGCATCCAGTGCTCCACCAAACCGGTCACCCTGGGTGCAGTGCACAAAAGGGAATTATAGCAAAGGGCTGCCCAGTTAAGGTACTAAACATGATTATCTTATCAATTTGCCCTGCCTATCAATGTGGCATTGATTAAATTAAAGTCAGGCAGTCTTGAGATAAAGCATCTGTTTGTAACTCGACACAAGTGTCAATATGCAGCCAACGCATCTCCACTGGAGACAGAGCGTGGGGGGAGATGCAATTTAAAGTCTGTTTTATTCATATTTTTACTTGTCAGTGTTGGAAGAGACTAGGCAACCATATAGGGACAATTTGGCCTCTATAAAATATTTCTCTACCCAAATGACACACATCAGCATTAGAGAAGTGGAGCAGGTTTTGAGCCTAGAACATCAATCTGAGTTGAATTCAACAGAAATTCAAAGTGCGAGTGAACAGGCACAACCCATCCACGGCTCTGCAGCTAATCTATATCTTAAATTAACAGTAATAAAACCTGGGCAGAGCAACGAGTAGCAAAGCTCAATCTTGTGGAGATGCAGTACGTACAATAGTAAGGAGGCCTGAGGTGAGGCTCGAGACGAGGTCTTTTCCAGCTCTTGCACAGACAATGGTGTTGTGGGCTCCCGACACAGCGGGCCCGTGATCTGCTGTCACCATCAAACACATCTCAATGAACTGGCAGGCATACCTGGGTAACCTGGGCCAGGAAGAGACCACAGTCATTTATTGTAAAGAAAAACTGAGTGACAAGACACTTGGTGTTTACTGGCCAGTGATTTCTGGCTTAGGCATACGCTTGAGAGAGGAGAGAGGAGGAGCTGTAGGGTCACAACACCCATCAGCACCTCCTGATATCTTTCACAGAGATCAGATTTGTGTGGGGTTTCCACAGGAGCTGTTTGGCTCAGAGCTGAGGGTCACTTTGGAGCTCGAGTCTGTGCACCCTCAGCTCTATGGGTCCCCCCAAGAGCCCCGGGGCTGCGCTACGGTTCTGCTCACCCCGTTCTGCTGAGACAGAAACCACAGCCCGTGCCAAAGTGCCTCTCGTGGAAGCAAGATCAGATGAAGGCAGCAAAATTCTGCCCTTCAGAAGGTTCCCTGTAGGCTGGATAGCAAATGTTTGTACACTCCCCAACCTCCCCAGAGTGGAAGTGCCAAAAATAAGCAAGTAATCAGAGAGCGTGAAATGGGCCTAGACCAGAGAATTTTCCTCAATGCACCACAGAACTTATGGAAAACTTCATCCCAGGACTAAAACATACTGTGTGAAGCCTTGAAATGCTGAAGTGGTGTCAGAGCAGGGGATACAGAGATGGCATTTCCAATGAATCTACATCCACAAAGGAACCCCTAGAGTTACTTTTGGGCTTAGAAGTCTATTAATAAACATGCAAAACTTCAAGACAAAGAATTTAGGAGCTTTCACCAAAAGCTGCCTCACCTCCGTTGAAACCAGAGCAGGCCCAGAACCCCTCCAATGCCCAT